AGAGAGAGAGATCTTTCCTACCATTAGATCATGTTATTGATAGTAGAAGTAACGAAGATATTGTTTTAGTTTTTACTCTTGGCTTTATTTTCTATTTTGCCTTTTTTCCTGCTTTCTTTTTTATTTTGTTTATTCTTTTGCTTTAATGTTACATTCATAATTTATTTTTAAGAAAAATATTCGACAGGCGCCTATATCTACTAATCTAGTCTAGCAATATGCCCAAGGCAGCCTAAGAATAACGGTAGCCAATTCAATATTGAATTTTTTTCGTAATAACTCAATTCAAGTTTTGCTCGTGAATATTTTCATAATTTCATTGGATTGCCGTGACTTTCCTTGCATAATAATAAATGATCTAGCCTCCCCTTCTTTCGAAAAATGTAATATTTTTGCTTGACCAGTTAATTTAATTCAAAAAACTACCTCATTGCATTTTTACAAGTGTATATTAATTCACGAACTTTTTGTGTATGGTTTAAAACATGCATGTGAAAACACAGATAAATTTGGCGTAGAACATATTAATTGTATCCCTGAAAATAATTAGTTGAAGGAGGGCAAAATTAATCATACACATAGTATAAGGACAAAATTGAGTTAAAATGACACCAAATAATCAATTTTAAGCATGTTGTTTAAAATATATCCGCAATTTACAATGTATTTAAAAATTAACCAATTTGGCTCAAACTTCAGGACACAATGTCCTAGAGTTTAAACCTCAAAGTTCAAAGTTCAGGACATCGTGTCCTAAAGTTCAAAAATTGTGTACGGAAGTGTGAATTTATGTCCTGAATTTTAAATTAGTAGTTCAGAAATTTAGGACACTTCGTCCTGAATTTCAAATTAGCAGCTCAAAAATTCAGGACACTAAGTCCTGAATTTCCAAATTCAAGATACTTAGTCCTGAAGTTTGGATGAATTGACTAATCTTAAATACATTGTAAATTATGAATATATTTTAAATAGCGGACTTAAAAATAGCTATTGCTTCACTTCTCCCAAAAATTGAATCATATGAATAGTGTAAGGGTAAATCCGGTCCACTTTGATTTAGTTAGGACACATGGCATGTTATTTGGGCAAAAAAATATTAAGTAAAAATAAAATAAAAAATTAGATCAATTATATAGAAAGGTAAATTTGAGCCATTTTGGTCGCGTCAGGGATAAATCTGGGACTAATTTTAACGGATGGTAAAGTTGTTCAATTTCGCACGGTACAAAAGTAGTTTTGACCCTTTTTCATATATTATATAATATGTTTTCATAATATGAACATTTTATCACTAAAATGGCTTCTGGGGCGGATTTAGGGATGGAAGGGAGTTTATTCGACCCCTTTTCGCCGAAAAATTATACTGTATATATAAGGCAAAATTTATTTTTTATATTTATATATTAAGTTTTGAACCCCCTGACACAACCCAAAAGTGTAACTTAGCGGTCAAGGGGGTTCAAAATCTTTGAAAGATCATAAGTTCAATTCCCACATCTTTTTTTTCTTGAACCCCTTCGCCGAGATCTTGCAAATGGCTTCATACAAAGAAATAATATAAAAAACAAAAAGAATGTTACAAAAGACAGAAACCAGTAGCATGGAGATATTTGATTATATTGCAGCGTTATATAATCGAATATTGTCAAATTGGAATGTAATTATTTGCAGGAAAGAGTGGTCCTCTGTCCATCGTTAATTTCTTAATCAAAAGACGATGGACAAGTAGATCTGTTAGGTTGGACCACTTTGATTGTGAGCCCCAAACATTAAACAGAACTAAAAATGAATACTTTTACTACTACAAAATCTAAGTTACTACTTTCAAAGTACTTAGGACCGTTTGACCATACATTTTGTCAAAATAAATTTAGTTTTTATTTGGCAAACACATGTTTGGTCATAGATTTTACATATATTTTGGTCAAATCCCAAATCCCAAAATCAGCTCAATAGATGATTTTGGGCTAAAATATCACTATTATATTTTTTAAAAATTGCCTCAAACTTTTGTATTTTATAAAAGAGCCCACCATTTATTATTTTGTAACGATGTTGCTTCGTCTTCTCGGTCATCTGATAGTGTATCATGTAGTTCATTATAAAAATAATAATTTTATATTAAATTTATTTATGTTCAGGACTATGGTTTGCGATAATGTAATGATTGTTATTGATAATGGTACTGTTGAGTATTTGTGATAGTTTTTAGAACTTGTGGAGTTGTGGGTATAAGTCATGTTTCATATTTTTTCAAATCAAACTTCACCCAAAACAGATGTCCAAACACATTTTTCATCTTCAAACCAAACTTCATCCAAATCAGATTTTTCAGAATAAATTTAGAAATCTATAGTTAAACGCTAGCTAAAAATGAAGATCAATTTGACAAATTGTAGATAAACCTGATCACATATAACTTTATAGTATGTATTGGAATTGTTATCATATCAAAATAATGGAATGATATATTTTAAAATTGGTTTAAGATTACTTTACTTGATTCTAGGTAAAAGAGAAGTAACATTTTTTTTTAGATAAAAGGGTGTAGTATCATTTAGGCAGCCAATTATTAAAATGCAACCAACAATTTAGGCATTGCATTATTATTTTCAGTCTTACGCCCCTCCGATTTTGCTAAAATATACATTGCATAAAAGATAAAAGTCATGCCTTTTCGACCTTGTTCATCCACACCACACTGCTTTTTCAAGATACATGAGAGGGAGTTAACTTTACAAAGTCATTATTATTAAATTATTTTTATGTTCTTTGATCTCTTCCTTTATCTGAATTTGAAATCGATTATATGAATATCATATAAATGAATTTGACACCATTAATCGAGTATTTATTTTCCTTTTAAGTTTTTTACTACTTTTATCGAGATATTAAAAATATTTTTTTTATCTAATTTCGTTCTCTAGAGCAACGATGCTTATAATTTTCATAATTTTTACAATATGTATAATAATACTAATTGATTTTGAATTCCTTTACAAAAATGAAAATGAAAATGAATTAGTTACGTTGAGCCAAGATCATTATGGCTCGAGTTATAATTGTTGACTATTAAGACTACTTCATATTTATGGTATGGGTTTCGGTTTTTCATATTAGAATGAAATAATATTTCAATTTAATTATTCGACTGCTTGAATTTGTGCCGACTAACATAGTAACGAAAGTAATAAAGCGTTTCTTACTAAAAAGCTTTCACTTCTAAAGCACAAAATGAGACATTTGTTAAGGGTACAATAATTAGAATAAAATAATTGGTACTGTTGAATTTATGGTTTGGCGGTAATATGAACTTTTTCATTAGTCCATTTGCCAACTAACAGTAACAGACTGGACAAAAATGGACCAACAAAAAAAGACCATTTTTTTTTTAACCCTGCTCTAAAACCTTCCACAACCGTTCTACTCTTCTCCTCCTCCTCTTCTTCTTATGGCCTTTAAGCCATGCCTTCAAGCTTTTGGTGCAGAATTTCCAAGTTTATTTTCTTTTAACTTTCCTAGTTAAAATACTTCTTTCCCACTTCAAGTTTTTCTATTTTCTTCTGGTGATTTTAGTTGGCCAGCAAGCTAAAATTTGCCTCTTGTTGGACACCAGCTACTGCAGGTTTGACTTATTTCTCTCTCTGTTTTTATACAAACACTTGATTTTATTTCTAAAATTGGGTCTATTTAAGCTCAAAATGCTACCTATAACATTTCTTTTCTAATGATTACAGCTTAGTGTGGAGATTTGTCAGATGGGGTTCTTGTATGTTTAGAAATTTTGATTATTTTTACTTAGTGATAATCAAAGGGGATTTTTTAGTACTAGAATCTTGACTGCAATTGTAATTTGTGTACAACCAGCTGGAGTTTCTGCTTCTATGTATTATCGTACACTAGGCTCTTGCAAAATGTGGATATTTGACCTTTCATTATTGATAATGCATTTTTCAACTCTTAGATTGAAGCTGAAGATTATCTTTGGTTTGCCATTTGGTAAATCCATGCTAATCTCATCTCATGATGAGAAATAACTTTAGGACTTCATTAACAGGAGGCAAATTCGTCATAAATCACGTATAGCATCTAGGTAGACAGGTTGCAGGATTATCAGGTACAATCATTCAACTCTACTATGTCAAATTTTGTAACAGGTTGGAAAAATTATCATGCACTTTTTAAATTGTTCCTGATGCATATGCACCTTCTTTAATAGATAATTGATTTCATTATCGTTTCCAAACTAAGGTTCTCAAGAGATAGGATAGAATTGGGCTTCTATGCGAGAAGACAGAGTGATGAAACAGAAGGTAATTTTCCATTTGGATAAAAGAAACATGCAAGTGCATAATAGTTAGAATATGTTGCAATATATGATTGTGTAGAAGATTTAGTTTGACTATCCTAACTAAGTTTGGTTTTCTCTGTGAATCTAAGGGGGGGAAAGCCAATTGAAATGTGAAAGAATAGGATATAGAGAAATCAAAGGGGGAGAGGGAGACAACAATTCATTTCCTCAACCAATGTGAGATACTAACATTGCCCCGCACACCCAGGGTCAGATACTGGAGCGTGGATAACATAACATTAGGGCTCTACATTGGGAAATACAACAATAGGGATGTGTGATGTATGGCTCTAATACCATGTTACGAAAATGAACTTTGGGCCTAATTCAACCCGAAAAGCTAACTCTCATAAACCAAAGAGGAGCAGCGCTAGAAGGAAGTACTATGGAGGGGGCTGGTTCTTGCAAAATACAACTATTAATGAGCATAAGTGGTTTTCTTGATAGTATTATGGCCACATATGGGTTATGCACTTGGAGAGGTAATCATGAGGGGAGTGAAGGAGTTCTCAAGATTCATCGGGTTCACAGTTAGGAATCACAGTCGAATTGTATCGGCTAGATGTTTGGTGTGGAGGCTTAATCTTGAAGGAAGAATTCCCAACTATTTTTTGTAACAGTTGATAAGCATGCCATGATACCTTAAATGCTCGGGAGTGATGAAATACAAGTATGTGGGGAAGCATTTTTTTGGAGATCTATTCAAGATTGGAGTGTGATGAAGTGGATGGTTACCTTCAAAATATATATATATATTTTTTTAAAACTCAAGTCACGATTTTATTACCATTCCAAAGGAGGGTATAGCCTGGCCTTCTATATGGATTGAGGATTTGACACAACAAATTCATACAATAAGTACGGAATTGATGGGATTATTTCCACACCAACATGCCAATTAGTAATGAAGTTGAGAACTCATGGTGGTTCATACACTATGGTACTTGGGCTTCTCTTCTTGACTCGGAATGCTGAAATTTGCCATCTATCTACATTTAGAAGCCCTTTGACCTGTCGAGGCAATGTATCAAAATAAGTGAAAATATACACTTCCTCTAATTGGTGACTTAGAGAAGCCATCTTGTCCGCAACTTGATTTGCTTCTCTAAAACAATGTCTAATGATTAGACCCTTTTGTTCAACTAGCGTTTTTACCTCCATAACAGCATTGTTGATTCTCTACGGTGTGGAACATATGCCTTGAATGCAGTTGTGAAGTAGCAAGGAATCAGTTTCACCAATAATCAATCCATATTCTTGTTGAACGCACCATTTTAGGCCAAAAAGAAGGGCCTCTGCTTCTGCTAAGTTATTTGTTCCTTGACCCATTGGTATAGCATAAGCCATAAGCATTTTACCACAACTGTCTCTAACCACCCCGCCACCTCCACAATTCCCACTAACACAACTACCATCACTGTTTAACTTAACGAAGAGCAAAGGTGGTTTAAGCCACTTAACCTCAGTTATGCACCTGTCAACCAGAGAGTAGTCAAAGAGTTTACATATATCTTCCCAATTATTGTTAACAGTTAGTTTCCCAAAATGAGAGTTAACTAATTGGGCAATGTTAAAAGTGATAAGGCACTTGGATCTTGCCACTGATGGCCTCTCCATTTCGTATTTACTACAACACCTTGATCTCCACAACTCCCATACAACAATAGGAGGCATAATCTGGAAAACAAATGCAGCAACAGAGTTTATGTATTTATGATTCCAATAGTTAGCAAACAGAGTTCTTAAGGGGATGTTCATATGAGCTATTCCAACCATTCCAGCAAAAATCGCCCACACTTGTTGTGCAAACTGCCCCTGACAAAATAAGTGTTCACGCGTTTCCTCGCCTGGGATCATTCCGGGAGAAAGGCAACAACAACATTTAGAGGCTAAGGAAATCCCAAACCTCGTGATCCTTTCATCTGTTGCGATTTTTCCATGGGTAGCTCTCCAAGCCAAGAAAGACATCTTAAATGGGACATCTTTATGCCATAACTTAGAGTCAAACGGAGCAGGATCCTTTCTTTGTCTTAATGCATTCCAAGCAGAGACCACACTGAATTTTCCTGAATAAGTAATTGTCCAGATTGGAGTATCATCCTCTTCTTGGCCAATTGTGATCTGAACAGAGGCTACCAAAGTTTTAACAACTTCAGGAGGCGTAATATGTAAGCAAGACTAGTCCCATACTCCATCCCTATATACTTCATTAACCTTGGTATTGTCATACCCGACATCTTCGCTTAAGCTGGAAGACAAAGGACCAAAATTGGTCCAATTATCATACCAAAAGCTGCTATTACCTCTCCCAACTCTCCATAAGATGTTCTGCTCTACTTCATATTTCAATTTGCACATAGCCTGCCAATTATTGGATTTGCCGGCTGTCCATTGACTAATCAGTGGATGATAGATTTTACAATATTTGGCTTTGACAAATTGGGACCATAGGGAGTTTGTAGTTCTCAACCTCCACCATTGCTTTGCTGTGAAGGCTTTGCAGACATCCTCCAACTTTCTAAAACTAGCCCCTCCCCCTTCATATGGAAAACAAAGTTTGGACCATGCGGACCAATGGTATCTGTCGCTAGTCTCTTGCCCAGACCAAAAGAAACTAGCTAAGTACCTCTCAATTGTAGCGATAGTACCCTTGGTTGGATGAACTGCAGCCAATGTATGGACATTCAGGACCAATAGAACATGCCTGATAAGAACTGCCCTGCCTTCAGAAGAAAGTAGCTTTAAATGCCATCCTTTGATCTTGTTAATCACCCTGCTAACCATCCCTGCAAAGGTAGACAACTTTTTTCTACCAGAATATATAGGACAACCGAGGTAATTGATAGGAAGGGGTTCATGTCTCATCTCTGTTATTTCCTCAATCCTGCGAATGGATCTTTGTGTTGCAGAAGAAGGCACTGAGAAACTGCATTTAGATTTATTGATCTTCTGCCCAGAAACTTGTTCATATGTTGCTAATGTTGCTTGGATCAGCTGAAGAGTAGTTTTTCCACCATTGCAAAATAAAATAAAATCATCGGCAAAGGCGAGATGGTTGATTTGTGGACCATAACTACTCATGTAGAAACCTCTGTACCCTCTGTGCTTCTGGAGTTCATTCAATAATAGGGATAACAATTCAGCATTCAAAACAAAAAGAGATGGGGAGAGAGGATCGCCTTGTCTGAGCCCTCTCCCAGATTTAAAAAAATCCATGCCTACTCCCATTCACAATTATTGTGTACCAATTGTTTGAAATATATCTATGAATAATGTCAATCCAACTCTCAGCAAAACCCAATTTTCTCAGCATGAGGCAGAGAAAAGACCATGATACTCTATCATATGCTTTTGCCATGTCTAATTTCATAACTACATTGCTCCCCTCAACAGGTTTCCCAATATCATTCACAATCTCTTGAGCCAACAAAATATTCTCAATTATGGCTCTACCGCTAGATATATTGCTGTATGTAGTTTGGAAGAATGATAAAATGTCATTTTTTATAAGGAAAAATGACAAAATATTATGGAATGGGCAAGCAGCAACTGTTTTTTTAATGAAGTCATACTATAACTACCTGCTCAATGGAGGTTATATGAGGACCATGTGGAAGTCAATGTGGGATACTGAAGCATCTAAAGGCGGGTTTTCACGTGGTATACTATGTGCTATTCTAACCTAATGTGAGATAATCTGCGGAAGATGAGATGTATAATAGTAAGTTGATGCTGCATGTGCTCATTGAATGGGAAGGATGTTGAACAACTGTTACAACATTAAAACATAGTAATAGAATTATGTCTTAATATATTCCTTGTTTAATATGGTCATCTCAAACGATGGCGGATGCGTGACAAGTTGGTACGTGGAAAATATGGATGCTAGGAAGAGGGAAGTGTGGAAAGATGCTCCTCTTGTGTGTTTGACCAATTTGGGCGTAAAGGAAAAGTAGAATTTTTGAAGGTGTAGAAAAGCAGGATGGAAAGTCAGAGCAGATCTTTTGTTTCATTGGTATTTTTGGTGAAAAGGGAACATTGTTTTTTGCATAGATGGGTGAGTGGATTTTTGGAAACATAATGACACTACCTTGGTGTGATATTCAGTGCAAAAATCTTGGCTTTATCAAAAAATGGAGTTCATTTATTAGAGCAGATCACTTATGCTCCTGGGAAGTGGAAAGATATTGTTTCAATTTCATCTTAATTGGGAAGTGGAAAGATATGAGTTCCTTGCACAGAGAAGTGATGTTTACTTTCTTTATCCTGAAATTTTATGCAGAAGTTTGATCTTTTATTTACACAGTCAGTGGACTTGTAACTTTTTCTTAATCTTTCTTCCATTTTTTTTCTCAGGTGATTTGTTCTCCTTTATTGAGAGATCTTAGAAGTAGTAATACAAGCTATAGCCATGGTGTGTTGGAGCTTCATGGAGATATTTAATGTGCTTGCAGTTAGCTAAGATGAAGACCACACAGGTTCTTGTGTTTATATCTTAATAGATTTCCTTTTGACGTGTTCAGATCCTTCATGTGTTTCTCTGGTTTGTTTTATGGATTTTTCACTTTTTTGGCAATGCTATATATATATTTTTTTAAAGTTTCTCAGTGCAACTTATTGAAACAACTTATGACTCAATTGACTTGCTGCTTACACTTGTGGCTTAATATTTAAGGCTGAGTAATCTCCCGTCTATAATATAGGTTGTTCCTTTTTATCCTGTAATAGTTAACTGTTTATCTATGTCATTTTCTTATAGAGCCAGCAAATAATATAATCAGATGACTAAAATTCTGAAACCTTATAAATTTAGGTATTCATTTTTACAACGGAATTCCTTTAATAAGGTGTTGTTCAAATGTGGAACTTTTTTTCATAAATTGTTTATTGCAATAACTGCAGGATCTACAAAACACAACTGAGAAACAATCTTCAAACCAGGCTTCTCATGAGGCCCAAAGTGACCAGCAAAACAATACAACGGAAACACCTGTAGCAGATTCAGGTTCTGTTTCTGCATCAGGCAATGACAACCAGAAAGTTTCACGTGAAGATATTGAGCTAGTAAGATAGTTCTTTTTTCAGAAGAACATACTTTTATACAAGTTGCTGTTCCCTGTAGTACCTTTTTCTTTAATTTTATCATGACAAAATTGGTGATGTAGGTCCAAAACTTGATCGAACGGTGCTTACAATTGTATATGAATAAGGATGAAGTCGTTAAAACACTTCTTAACCGTGCAAGGATAGATCCTGGATTTACAACACTTGGTATGTATATCAAGAATGCAGTTGTTTGTGATTGTGGTGTTTTATGCATTTGCTGCTTGATTGAAATATGCTTTTTCATATTTATTGTTACTGAGTAGCTATCGGGTCTATAACTTTGGCTGTTAGGTGTCAGTTCTCAATCCTTTAAACATCTTTATACTGAATACAGTTTGGCAAAAATTGGAAGAGGAAAATGCAGATTTCTTTCGGGCCTACTACATTAGGCTTAAACTGAAGAAACAAATCATCTTGTTCAATCATTTGCTTGAGCATCAATATCATCTAATGAAATACCCTGTGCCACCTAAGGTTCCATTGACTCCGATGCAGAATGGGATAAATACCATGCCAGGTAATTTTATTTATCATTACTGTCATTTCAATTTCATAGCCATTTTTTGTCTTCGTCTTTCCCCCCTTTCATTTTCTGAAAAGGAGGAGGACCATTCGCCTCTTCACTTCTCGCTCCCTTTCAAATCGGAGTTAAGCTACTTTAAGAGAGCATGAACTTAATGTTATCTACAGAGCTATTGAACAATACTCTTGTATGCGTTCTTGCCATTGTTATTCATTGCCTCTTGTTTTCAGTGCAGTCAACAACTTGCCCATGGGATACCCCGTCCTACAGCAACCTCCACTTCCAGCTGCAGGTCAACCTCATTTTAATTCTATGGGCATGTCCAGTTGCCATGTGGTTAATGGTGTGCCTGCGCCAAGCAACTATCATCCAATGCGGATGAATTCTGGAAATGAGTGAGAATCCATGTTTCCCTTTTAAATTTTGAAAATTTTAAACTAGAACTCAAGAAATCCATAAACACTTCCCCAGTTGACCAGTGTGCCCTATTAGGGTTCATGTATTCCTTATTTAGTGACCCTCCTTGTACTTGCTTGTGCCCAAGGAACTTGAATTTGACTCTACACCATTACATGTGCATATATTTCATGCTTCATAGAATTTGGTGAAGACTCTAGCCACTTCTCATTGTTTATAAGTATTACTGAAGGTATAAGTTGGTTTAATCAGTGTAGGTTGGTGAAAGAGGTTGCTTTTTCCTGCACAATCCGCCATACTTGTTTATTGTTGTCCATGCCTAGTTTGTTAATTTTCTCTATCAAGCTTTTCAAATAGGAATAGACAATCAATCTGGTGGAATATAATGTTTTTGGGCTTCAAATGGTAGAAAGCTGTTTCTATTAGTTTCTTAAGAGAAATAGCATGACTAATGGCGCTCAACATTTTCCTATCTGTTGACAGTATGGTGGTAGAAACAAGTGTATCTGATGTGGCACCAGCTGTTCCGCCTAGCAATGCCATGTCATCTATGTCTGATATGCCTGTAAGCCCTGCATCAGTGGCTTCAAGTGGCCACTTCCCCTTCACTGCTTCGGAGATTTCAGGGATGGGAATTGACACATCAGCCCTCGACACTTCATTCCCATCTGATGTAGCAAGTTCAGTAGGATTGCAACTTCCGCCAGATAATGGGGTTGGTAATTCTAGAGATATGCTGAGATCCTTTGATCAGATTCCTTGGAATTTCAGTCTTTCAGATCTAACTGCAGACTTGTCAAACTTAGGAGGTAACTTTCTTCATACAAAATTCAAAGTTTTTTAATCGCACGACTCCTGGAAAGCAAATTTTGGTTCTAAGCATTGCTCTTTGAACTTCTTTAATAATTGTGTTGGCTACATAAATTTCTGAATTTGAGGATTCCTTTCCTGCTCTTAGCATTTTCTAGCCCCCCTTCTCGTATATACAAGCTTGTCCCATATTTTTCTTCCCTTGTATCATTTTTTCTCTTCCTCTCTGGTCTGATTAATTGTAACTTCTGATTCAATACTAATTGCAGATCTAGGATCTCTAGGAAACTATCCTGGTTCCCCTTTTTTGCCTTCCGATTCAGATATTCTGCTTGATTCTCCAGAACAAGAAGATATAGGTGAGAATTACTAGTTTCTTGCCCATGTAATATTATGTTTTGAATCAGAAACAGATTGAGAAGTTAGAAAAAGCATTAGCTTTAACTATCTCCACATCAATGTGCTCTTTCTGAAAGCTATTCAGATGTATATTAGTGGCTGCGGTTTTTTTATAGTCAATATTCTCTTATTTTCTCTGATCTTTGTCAATGCTATCTGGCTTTCATGCCTTTGTGTGACATGGTTTGGTCATGAACATTTAGTGCCACCTGAATGTTCAATTACAAATTTTCTGACTAGCCTGATAAGCCACAGTACTAGTTAACTATTGATACATTGATTGCTAGTCTTTTGCTTTTGCATGTTATACTTACACGGTTCTCTTCTGAAATCATCACCGTCTATGCATGTTCTGAAATCATCGTAACCTTTTAGGGGTTACGTTGTTTTATCTATTGACTTAATGGTAGCTTTGTTGTTTGTTTATCCTAGTTGAGAACTTGTGATATCAAATGTGTTTACTTTCATTAAATGACTATCGTCTGCTATTTCACAATAATACTCCCTTGTTCTCATGCTTTTGGTTTTGGCTTTGTTTTAGTTGAGGAATTCTTCGTTGATGCCGCCCCAGGTCCCCAATCAGATGAAGAGAAGTCCTAGTTTAAATTGAGATGTACGCGTAGTTTGGTGCAAAATGATGGTAAAAGGAGAATATTGATTTACCCGTCTTTGGTATGTCAGTGTAGTTATTAACCTAACTTTTCGGGTTCTACCATTTTTTATTCCAGTACATTTTCAATATATCTAAGCTTTGAGTTATCATAGTCGGATCTTTCTTTCATTACTAGAACCAGGTCAGGATATGTTAATTTCATTCCTTTTGGATGTATGATCGTATGAAATAAGTTCACTACTGTCAAAATGGTCTTTCTTTCTATTACGTATTAATTGCAGCTTCCATGAATCTGAAATCATACTTAAGTATACAACCTTGACAGTTTTTTTTTTTTTTTTGAGCATGATCAAAATGAAAAGTTGTTCCCACATATACTGGTTACTGATTAGAGTCCAACTTTAAATTGGATGAAGAAAGTTACGAAATCAAAGAGAAATGGACAAGTTTACAAAAAGAACTGACAAGTATCACAGTTCTCATGTTCTAAAACTTCAGTAGTAGCAAATTCCAATCTAGCAATGGAAAATAGCCATGGGTTTTTAAAAACTACACCTGGAACTGGGTGCGAAAACCAAACCAACCTCAATGGTGCAAACTAAAATTATTTTAATCAAAATTTTTATACGGAACATATCAGCAGTTGATTACTACTACTGCTTATTGTTGCAATGATTTAAGCTCAATATTAAACTAAAGTAGGAATTTATCTTCCTCATGTCACTGATGGAGTTATTAAACAAGAAAATGATGATAAAGTTATATTCAGTTCGAGATAGAAAACGAAGAGAAAAATATACCAACACAAGAATATAGACTATGTTTGTTAAGATGGAAAAAGATGACTTCCACTAGGACCTACTGAAAATTTTGTAGTAAATTCAATAAAACATCCTAAGACAAGTTCAGTACTAGTTTTACAACATTGATGTCCATAATTCCGCCATGACACTCTGTTCTATGAACAAAAATTTACAAGTACTACCTTCCAGTCCTCCCCCGATTAGAGGGGAAAGTAGAGTCCGATGATGTTACTTCCTCTCTAAAAGGCCGAGTTGACGCATCTGCTATGCTAGGTAACCTTGAAACACTGCCCTTCCCTTTCTTGGCATTTGGTCCAATCTCCTCTATCATGTACTTCCAACCATCTATAGGCCTCCTTCGGCTGAATATATGGGTTTTAATAAAACTAGCAATCTGCATAATCAACATTTATGCAGAGCATAAGAAACAACACCAAACAATAGACCATGATGTTTCACTATCTATTGTCAGAACCTTATAAAATCCGTGTTAATTTTACGTTACTAAATTGCTATATTATCCATTAACGGACAGAATCGCAGAGGAATACTTAGTACATGTTAAAAGGAACAAATGTCAAGATAAAAAAACATTTTTAGCAAAGGCAAAAAATAATTTACAATGAGGTCCATCTGCCATATGTGGAAACATATAGCCTATATTCCTGTCTACAAATAACTCACAAGTCACAACCAAGTGCATAGAACACTAAAATTGTACAACTGACAAGAACGTGATTGGCAATGAGCTTAGAGAACATGAAATTGGAGAATAAAGTACTTCAAGCTCATATTGTTACAGAGTGAAGTTTATAAAGAGAGACCGAAAATGACAAGCCATCATGTTACTGACCAAGGTACGCAACAGCCACCAATTTTATTGGTCAATGATATACTAGGATTATAAGGCAAGCTACATACTTGGTGAATAATGTAAGGCTAGGATCGGAAATAGAACATGGACCAGAAATGACAAGCTCCAAAGAGAATGTTTACCCCTCCAGAGATGTGGACCACCAAAGAAAATGAATTGGAAGGGAGTTTCAGAGGCTATATTTGGCCGAAGAGATTTGTTGCAGACACTCAGCTACACTTCACTGGTAATGGAAGGAAACAAGAACAAAAGTTTTTCCCCTTAATGGACACTGCTCAGAGGACGTACAATTACATTGGTGTCATCCTCATTTACCAAGTGGTAAGAGGGAACAGAAAAAGGAATGTGACAGGGCAACTTAACAAAACCTCTATGTATAGAGTTCCATTAAGAGACCACAACTTCAAAGCATCCAAATCCATTTGCTGGAAAATAACTAAGTGACTAGAAAGGACAATCTCAGAGGAAGGTGGTAGTATTGGCTCTACAATGAAAGAGGAAGAGGCTTCAAGTTCAGGCTTTTTTTTGCCTACATGCTGCTGGGAAATTATTAGGCAGAATATTCTGATACCTTCAACATTTCATATGACAACAGACTTTAATACAACAATCATTTGCCAAGCCCCTAGAACTAATAGAGTGCCTGGTAGAAGATATGGTAAGCTTATTAGCCTTTTTATTCTGGGGGGGGGGGGGGGGATAAATTACTGTGGATGTGATGGTTAATGACTGAAAATTTATCGCTCCTTCAGTGGCTCAATGCCTTCGTCGAAGACTAGTTCTGGATATTCAATAGAGAAATACACTTCTAGTTCGAACCTCGTAAAACTTTGGATGGGCTGCAACTAGCACAACCTACAGGGTGCTTTGCTGTTTTTTCCTAATAAGTAGCACAGTGTCGCCTCACTTGGTGTGTGCAGTTAAAAGAATTTTTTATACGTTTCCGATCAAAGGAAAAATATAAAAAGGGAGAAAAAAATCTATAAGAAGAACAAATAAGAAGGATCTAAGCAAAATAATCTGATACTTTTGGCATGGGTGGGCACCAATTTTTTTTAAATCTTGAAATTTTTTTGATGCACAACCTACAGGGTGCTTTGCTGTTTTTTCCTAATAAGTAGCACAGTGTCGCCTCACTTGGTGTGTGCAGTTAAAAGGATTTTTTATACGTTTCTGATCAAAGGAAAAATATAAAAAGGGAGAAAAAAATCTATAAGAAGAACAAATAAGAAGGATCTAGGCAAAATAATCTGATACTTTTGGCATGGGTGGGCACTAATTTTTTTTAAATCTTGAAATTTTTTTGATGTTTTTGGAACAAAGACACATGCTTAAACCAAAGCTTGCGGATTCACCAAACTGAACAAGTCTTCTCAGCAACTAAGCTTGAATTCATAAATTGGATTTTCTCCACAAACCTGGAATTTGTTGAATGCAATTCGGCGTTCAAATTCTTGGACTAAGATATCTTCCTCTCTTTGTGACATCTCCCATATATTCCCATCTTGCGTTTTCGACGTTGTTTCCCAGCCATCAGGTTTGTTTTTGAACTCAGAATTCGTAATTTTTGAATTGCTTAAATCATCATTAGGTGAATCAAAAATCCTACATTTGCACACAAAAAAAAGTGAAATTAACAAGATATAGCAGGTCATCATGGTATCAAACTTAACCTTCAGATTGCATTGAAAGCAAGTATTCACCACATCAGCTCACACAAGTTCAGGAATTCCATACTCACATTCCACCAAAACAAAAGATGCTTGAAATGTGGCAAGATTTCGGAGAAAGGGTATACTAAAGTCAACACATACTCAAGTGATATAGCCAAAATTCTACTACTTACGACTTGCTTTCATCATCAGTATCTTTCAAGACAATGTTTTAGCATAGGTAGGTGAAAACTTCTCTTTTGGGATGCACCAAGATTTCTTATATAGGAAAAAGATCCTGAATGGAAGTATACGAAACCCAATACAGATCTAGCCCTTAGCATTGGGTTCAACCGAATGGCTCGCAAGTACATGTATGCAAAAGATGTCAACAAATAATAAGACTTCAACTAATCCGATCCACTAACTCTAAATTCTAGATCCACCCTGACAAAATTATTAAAACTTACGATTGCTTGCAAACTAGTTAATGATACGATAACGAATCAATTCAAATGCACATCAAATAAGCACAGCCAACTATATCAAACAACGATCAACTATGCCTCAATCCAAACTATTTACGGTCGAATATATGAATTCCTATATCCATAAGCACATTCAATCACCAATAAACTACGCCTCAATCCTACTTATTCAAATAAAAGAAAGATAAAAAAATACACCTCCATCCCAAACTATTTGGATCGGCTACGAGTCCGGTATATTCATAAGCAAAATCAACTATATCAATCAACGATCAACCACGCCTCAATCCGTAATGAATCCTCTATATATGTAAATTCATCTAGGGATTAAGGCATATTACTTAGTTTGGTATTGAGGTGTAGTTGATCTTTGATTGATATAATTGACATTGTCTTACATATCCGTAAACACATCCAATTATAACAATCAATCAATTACACCTCAATATCAGACTACTTGGAAATCCTATATATCCATAACACAGTCAACTATATCAATCAAAGAGCAATTGCACCTCAATCCCAAACTAGTTAGAGTTCACTACATGAATCCTTTATATCCAATAAGCAAAATCAACTATATCAACCAATGATCTATTACGCCTCAATCCCAAACTAGTTTGGGGTCTTGAATCCTCTATGTCCATAAGCATACAACAACAACTACAACTCATTCCCAAACAAGTCGGGTCGGCTAAATGAATCCCCTCTGACCACATTATTCCATTTCAATTCATCTCATGCCAATACTATGCAAATACTAAGAATATGTCCATGAGCATAGTCAACTATACAACATATTTATCAATTTCATACCCAAAACCAAAAAAAAAAACATAAAATCAAAGAAATAACGGGCAAAACATTGTGACTTTTAACAACAACAACCAAAAAAAAAAAAGCATACTCTGAGCAGCTATCGAGAAGCTTTTCAATATCATCAGCATTGCCACCAATAGAATCCCCAAGCTTAGCCTCTTCCATTTTATCAATCTCCTTCAACCACAAGCCCGCATGTATTCTCTGCTTCTTCAACCTATAATCCCTCTTTATATTCTCCAAACTATACAGCGAACTCTCATTCTCACTGATCTTTATTATGCCCTTTTCATTATCATCATTGGTAATATTTTTCTGTTGCTTCCCCTTTCTTAAGTGCCAATTCTCATTCATGTCCTCTACAAAGGCTTTGGTTTCCGCATCAACTTCCGAAACTCTAGGCCCATTTTCGGAATTTTCGGTAGTATTGCTAGTATCACCGGGAAGTGCAAAATTTACATCGGTTTCCCATGGAGCTCGATTCTTGCCAGAGAGATCGTCCGGAAGCCACGCGGATTCCCATGCGTCGTTCCACTCGTCGTCGCCGCTTTTGGTCGACAACCGCCGGCGGACGGCGACGGAGAAGGTGGGGTTTATGAGGGGGGTTTTGAGAAAGGTCAGTGGGAGCTTGCGGATTGAGTTCATTAGGAAATCTAGTTTCTAGGGGTTGCGCTTAGTTTTTGGAATTGTGCACATAACGTCATAATTTTGGATATTTACGTGAGAGCCATNATATATATATATAGTCCAGATCTTAGTCGAGAAATATGCCAAAGATCAGGATAAGATGATAATTACGAAGAAGAGAACACTGATAACTACCTAAATTATCAAGATGCTCAAGATCCAAATGATGATTCGGGAATGAGTTTAGACTCAATAACTCTATACAATCTAGACACATAGAAACAAGAAATTCGAGAATAAGACTAGATGACAGGAAACTGCTGTGTAAGCTGCTACTCCAAGCTGCTGTGTAAGCTGCTACTACAAGCTGCTGTGTAAGCTGCTACTCTAAGTTGTTGTGCCAGATATAGATAATCTTCTATCATGAGTAATATTTATCCATAACGGAGTACCGAAAGAATAAGTTTCTTCAGAAGGCTTATTTTCAATAGAGTACTAAATAGATAAACATATTTACGGCGGAGTCTCATATGAATAAATTTCTTCAGGAAGCTTATTTACAACGGAGTACTAAATGAACATCCATAATATAATATATTCATAACACTCCCCCTTGAAAGTTCATTAAAAGATAATGTGCCTCGTTAAAACCTTACTAGAAAAAATTCCGTGGAAAAAAATCCTAGTGAAGAAAAAAGAGTACACATATTTAGTAATACGCATTGCTAGCTGCCTCATTAAAAACCTTATAAGAAAAACTCTGTGGGATAAAACCTTAATAAAAAAAAAAAGAGTACATCGCGTATTTTACTCCCCCTGATGAAAACCTTGTTTCAAATATTTAAGTCTCCTCATTCCAATCTTGTATACCATATTCTCAAAAGTTGAAGTTGGTAAAGATTTGGTGAATAAATCTGCCGGATTGTCACTTGAACGGATTTCTTGCACATCAATATTACCATTTTTCTGAAGATCGTATGTGTAGAATAATTTTGGTGAAATGTGCTTCGTTCTATCTCCTTTTATAAATCCTCCCTTCAATTGGGCTATGCATGCAGCATTGTCTTCGTATAAAATTGTGGGTCTTTTCTCACATTCCAAACCATATTTTTCTCGAATAAAATGAATTATTGATCTCAACCCTATGCATTCCCTACTTGCTTCATGAATAGCTATTATTTCAGCATGATTTGAAGAAGTAGCAACAATAGATTACTTTGTGGAGCGCCATGATATGATAGTACCTCCACATGTAAACACGTACCCGGTTTGAGATCTAGCTTTATGGGGATCAGATAAATAACCTGCATCTGCATAACCAACAAGATCTGCACTATCTTTGTTAGCATAAAACAAACCCATATCAAGAGTTCCCTTTAAATATCGCAATATATGCTTAATCTCGTTCCAATGTTTCCGTGTAGGAGAAGAACTATATCTTGCAAGTAAATTAATAGAAAATGCTATGTCAGACCTTGTAGCATTAGCAAGATACATTAGTGCACCAATTGCACTGAGATAGGGTACTTCGGGACCAAGGAGTTCCTCATCCTCTTCTGGAGGTCGGAACAAATCTTTATTCACTTCAAGTGATCGAACAACCATTGGTGTACTCAATGGGTGCGCTTTGTCCATGTAAAAGTATTTTAATACCCTTTCTGTATAGGCAGATTGATGGATAAAGATCCCGCCTGCTAAATATTCAATTTGCAGACCAAGACAAAGTTTTGTCTTTCCAAGATCTTTCATCTCAAATTCTTTCTTAAGATATTCAATTGCCTTTTGGAGCACTTCTGGAGTTCCAACAAGATTTATGTCATCAACATAAACAGCAAGTATAGCAAATTCTGAAGCCATTTTCTTTATAAAAATACATGGACAAATAACATCATTTATGTAATCCTCTTTCAGCAAATATTCACTAAGGCGATTATACCACATGCGCCCAGATTGCTTTAAACCGTACAAAGATCTTTGTAATCTGATTGAATACATTTCCTGAGATTTTGCTTCAGGCATTTTAAATCCTTCAGGAATTTTCATATAAATTTCATTATCAAGTGAACCGTACAGATAAGCTGTAACTACATCCATTAGATGTATTTCAAGCTTTTCATGTAGTGCTAAACTGATGAGATATCGAAATGTTATGGCATCCATAACGGGTGAATATGTTTCTTCATAATCGACTCCAGGTCGTTGTGAGAATCCTTGTGCAACAAGGCGAGCCTTGTATCTTTCAACTTCATTTTTATCATTCCTTTTTCGCACAAAAACCCATTTATGACCAACTGGCTTTTATACCAGTAGGTGTTTGGACTACTGGTCCAAAGACCTCTCTTTTAGCAAGTGACTTCAATTCCGATTGAATTGACTCTTGCCATTTTGGCCAATCAGATCTTTGTCAACATTCTTCGACAGATCGGGGTTCAAAATTCTCACTATTTTGCATAATGTTAAGTGCAACATTATAAGCAAAAATATTATCCACCACTATTCCAGATCGATTTAAATTAATCCCATCACCAGTAGAACTTATTAAAAGTTCCTCGCTCACTTGAGTCTCGGGTTCATTGATTTCTTCAGGAATCTCAGAACTAATCAGATCCTAGGTCTCTTCAGGAGATCCCTTCATAATATCATTTTGATCATTTGTCGATTTTCTTTTTCTAGGATTTCGATCCTTAGAACCCAAAGGCCTACCACGCTTTAGGCATGCTTTAGGTTCTCTAGCTCTCATGCTAGTAGATGGTCCTGCTGGGACATCAATTCGGATAGGAACATTCTTTGCAGGGATATGTGACTTAGTTATCCTTTTTAAATCAGTAAATGCGTCTGGCATTTGATTTACTATATTTTGTAAATGGATGATCTTATGGACCTCCTGATTACATATAGAGGTACGTGGATCAAAGTGAGATAATGATGGAAATTTTCACACAATTTCTCTTTTGATTTCCTTTTTCTCTCCCCCTAATTGTGGGAAATTTGTTTCATTAAATCGACAATCTGTAAATCGAGTAGTAAATAAATCTCCCGTCAATGGTTCAAGATAGCGAATAATAGAGGGTGATTCAAACCCAATATATATTCCTAACCTTCTTTTGGGGGCCATCTTATTGCGTTATGGTGGTGCTACTGGCACATATACATCACATCCAAAAATTCTCAGATGGGTAATATTTGGTTCATGACCAAAAACTAATTATAACGGAGAATATTTATTATAATGTGTCGGTCTGAGACGGATAAGTGATGTTGCGTGTAAGATAGCATGGCTCCAAACAGTAATGGACAATTTTGTTTTCATAAATAGTGGTCTTGCTATCAATTGTAGTCGTTTAATAAATGACTCTGCAAGGCCATTTTGAGTATGAACATAAGCTACAGGATGTTCAACTTTTATCCCAACTGATAGACAGTAATTATCAAAAGCTTGAGATGAGAATTCTCCAGCATTATCAAGGCGAATAGCCTTTATAGGATAATCTGGGAATTGTGCCCTTAATCGAATTATTTGGGCTAATAACTTTGCAAACGCCAGGTTGCGAGATGATAGTAGGCACACATGAGACCATCTTGAAGATGCATCTATTA